GCAGCAACAACAACGCCACCAACAACGAAGTCAACAACAATAATAATGTCTGAGACTGTTCGCTATTATCTGCTCGCGCCCTCTTCGTCTTCGATTGTACCCCCTTCGGGTTACATCTTTCATTCCTGCAACGTGTATTCCGTGAAGACCGTGAAGACCCTAAGGCAGGGGAAGAGAGGACGGATGGAAGTAACGGACAATGGCAGGCGAGCAGGATGGAGCACAAGAGAGAGTAGCAGGAGGGGGGCTAGGAGCAGAACGCACGTGGCAAGAACAAGACGGGCAGATCGGGCAGGTAGACCCTAACAGGCGGATCGGGAAGGCGGGCCTAGGCGGCCAGGTCGAGCAGGCGGGTTGTTGAAGCGTGCGTCCTGCATGAATCGCGAGGAAGTCTCGAGCGACAGCGCAATTCCCAAATAAGTCGTCTGGAATTCCACAGCGAGGGCGTGATTCCTGAGTGTCGCGGGCGCGGCGTCTGAATAAGTCGGGAGGAAGTCCCAGCGCGATGTCTGCACATTGTGAGGTAGTCCCGCGCAAGAGCGTGATTTGGGAATGCATTGTGAGGAAGTATCAGGCGGGAGCCGTTGTTGTTGTAACTCGGGGCCGCGGGCGCAGTCTGACGCTCAAGTTTTTCTCTGAGAAAAAGCAGGGTTCGAGCCCTGGGAAGGGCACGTCAGTTGAAAAATATCATGTGCACGGGGCGGGGAGATCAACAATAAGTAGTATTCAGAAGTGAGGGCTCAACAACAGCAGTAATAACAACCACAACCACGACAACCACACCAACAACAACAACAACAGCAACACCAACAATAACACCCAACAGCAGACAGCAACAGCAACAACAACAACATGAATAGTGTGAACCGCAAACACTCACAACAGCAGCAGCACCAACAGCCACATCAGCAGCAACAACGTAGCATCCCTCCTCCCGGCCCCAGCTCGGGGCCAGGCGTTGGTGGCACATTGGCGTGTTCAGTAGGCGGCGTTCAGCAGCAGCAGCAACAACAGCGACAACAGCAACAGCAACACTGATTTTGAGATCGATAGCTCTTACCTGCTCGCGTGTCTGTCAGCACGTATCTCCCAAACCTTTGATATCCACCCATTTCGTCTTCGATCGTACCGCTTTGGGGGTACATATTCCTTGCAAGCATCGTGTATTTCGTGTTGCGAAGAGAGGGCGGATGGAAGGAAGGGACAAGGGGAAAAAAAAATAATAGAATGGAGCACGAGAGAGAGAGAGAGAGAGAAAGAGAGAAAGAGAGAGAGAGAGAGAGAGAGAAACAACAAAGAGAGAGAGAGAGAGAGACGCATAACATAGCAGGAGGATCGGGCGGATAGGCCCTAACGGGCGGTTCGGGAGGGCGGGCTCAGGCGGCCAGGTCGAGCAAGCGGGTTGTTGAAGCGTGTGTCCTGCATTAATCGCGTGGACGTTGCATGCGATAACTTGCAATGGGGCCACGAAGGGCAGCGATGGTGACAAGACGGAACGGGGCCACGAAGCGTAGCGAGGGGGGCCACGAAGGGCTGCCACAGGGCCACGAAAGGTAGCGAGAGGGGCCACGAAACGTTGCAACGGGGCACGAAGGGCAGCGAGGGGGCCACGAAGGACTGCAACGGGGCTACGCAGAGCAGCGGGGGGGCCGCGAAGGGTTGGAACGGGGCCAAGGAGGGCAGCGAGGGGGCCGCGAAGGGCTGCAACGGGGCCACGGGGGGGGGGGGGGGCACGAAGGGCATAATATTTCGATTCCTAAGTAAGTTGAGAGGGAGTCGAGGCGTGAGCGCGACTCCTGGGTGCCTGAGTGTCGGGAGCGCGGCGCTTAAGTAAATTGCGGGGAACTCCAACGCAGGAGCGCGATTCTTTTATCAAGTGCAAGCATGTCTCGAGCGAGAGCCCGACTCCACTGGGATCGATGGGCTGGTTGTGATCTACTTCTGGAGGTTATAACTAGATATAACACACTTGTAACATACTTATATGCTGCTTATAATCATAGTAAAGGAGTTGTATACACAGCATCTATGTTAACCGAGCGCATAACATGATATAGTGGTTGTGTAAGTACGCTATCTTCCGAACGAGGTTAAGCGAGAGTTAGAGGAACGAGGCCAAGCAAGAGACGTGAACTTCCGTAGCACATAGCGGACTTATGTATCTTGGTTGTAAGGTGGCAGAGCTAGATACGCAACTTTCCCTAACCAGGATAGCTACCAGGATAGCAACCAAGATAGCAAGTAGGATAGCAACCAGGACAGCAACTCTTCTCCCATCCGTTTGGAGCATTTTGCGCCCAAGCATTCGCTGGCGGTCGAGGATTCCCAGCCTCTTGTTTCGGGAAATCGTCCTTGCACGGCCGCCCCGATGGTAGCGTTGACAGAGTTGGCGGAGCAGATCAATGGTATCATCCAGGCCCACATGGGCGGCGAGGCCAATCATATTCGCACTGCGGCCGGGCGCATTGCGAAGATGCTGAGTGTTGCGGGCCTTGCATTTGTCAACAAGTGCCAGTGCGACAACGTGGGCACCCACATGCACAACAGAGATGGCACTGGCCTCGACGTAGAGAAAGTACATATGTTGGCCCAGCGGATCTGCAACCAGGGTTGGGTTTGGGAGGAGGTCCGCAACGCCTGGGCGTTCGAGATGCCGCCAGGCGATCAGCGACAGGCTCAATTTCAATTCAACGTTCAGCTTGCCAACTCGGCCGAGGGTTGCTTGGCCCCGTGGGAGGATATCAACGCGCTGAGGTACCTGAGCGTCACGTCCAGCCACACTGTCGCCGGCCTTCGCTGCGTCAAGTGATGCGGCAGAAACATTCACCGTACTTCCCAGGATGTGCACCCATATACAACAATATTACAGGAGTACGTTTATAATTATATATAATTAATAATACAAAAACGGGGGGTAAATCATACGACTTGAAAGCGGTGTCTGTCTCGGCCCAGGTTCGGCGCCAGGTCGGACCAAGCGGGGGTCAGCACAGGCGGCAAAGCATCTCGCGACGTAGTGTCCCAGATCGCTCCGAGCTACTTGGAGGCCGTCGACAACGGGATGGACTGGGCCATCATCCGACACGAGGTCGAGGCAGCGTGCCCGATGCTGCCTCATTTCCTGCAGGAGTCAGGGAATGCAGGACATGGTACAGAGCAGGTGTGTTCGAAAATACAGGCCCTCCTTCGCACCCACCATCGTGCGAAGTTCATGGGGAACGACTGGGACAAGGTCCACGCGGGCCCGAACTCTGAAACATCTAAGTTAAACAAGCAACGAGCACATATCTACAATATATATATATATATATATATATATATACACACATGTATATATATATACAGACACACATATATGTATTACCCTACAGAGCTCTTATGGTCCCAAGGCCCTCCCCAATGGGTTTCAAAAATCAGTGCTGCCGACCCCGAGGTCACTACTGCCGTGGAGAAGACGTCCCCGCACCTGTCGGGCCACGTGCGCGATATGTGCGACTTTGTTGAACAGTACTCTGGCGGATCAGATACACCACAATTCTTGACTGACCTTGAGACGTGGGCAAAGACGCGGAAGGTCTCAAAGGACGTCGAGGGAAGAAGCTTCAAGATGCTGGCGAAGATTCCTTTCAAGCAAGGGCCCGAGTACGTCGTCCGCATGCTGAGGGCCATGGCTGCCTCTCCAGATGCATTCGTCAGGGATGGAGTGGGCCGCCTCCCCGCGAGTTCCGACTGCGACGCCGTGACCACCACCAAGAAAGCACAGTGCCTCCGTGTCGCATCTTGCATCAAGTCGGGGGAAGCATGGTTGGAGTCCTCCGTTCCTGAGCTCGGAAGCCATCAGGTTGCCAAGCTGATCGGAGACTTTCAGATACTATTGGTCATGCACGTGCATGGCAAGAAGGCGAAGGGCTGGACCATCTACAAGTCGGTCGACGAGGTCGCCTCGGCCATGCTCGGCGACGTGTTCGCGATTTCCCCGCAGGCGCAGCGGGCGCACCTGCCATGGACGTACGTCCCCAAGTCGCCGAAGGCCGATGAGAAGAAGGGCACGATCGTGCAGTGCGGCAGCAGCGGCGCCATCGACGAGGCGGTGCTGGCCCGGATGGGCTTCCAGAAGGGCAAGCAGGTCGTGTCGAAAATGGACTCCAGCAAGATCTACACCATAGCGTCGATCGAGAAGGGGATCGCGACGATCAAGGTCGAGGAGCGTCATGCGACCAAGCTGCCTAACACGCTCGACGCCGCGAAGCTGGCGGACGAGTCCAAGGCTTGATTTGATCCAGTGGGATGGCGGTGAGGAGGGGGAGAGGAGGAGGGGGATGAGGAGGGGGAGGAGGAGGAGAAAGAGGAGGAGGAGGAGGAGGAGGAGGAGGAGGAGGAGAGAGAGGAGGAGGAGGAGAAGGAGGAGGAGGAGGAGGAGGAGGGTGAGGAAGAAGAGGAAGTGGAGGCGGAGGAGGAGAAGCAGGAGGATGAGGAGGAGGAAAATGAAGAGGAGGCAATGGAGGGATGACGGGGAGGAGGGACGTGGACAAGGAGGTTGGGAACGAGGGGAGGGTTTGTGGACAGGAGGCATGAACATCAGAACTCCTCCAGTTAGCCGAGATCTCCGAGTCCGTGGATTTCACCATCGGCGACGCTCACGACGCGTCCAAGATGCTGGACTGCACCCTAATGTGTTTCCGTTGTTTCCCACCCGTTCTCCCCGTGTAAAGCCACCCGCATAAACATTCCGAAACATCAAAAAGCTTAACGACCGACCTGGGAGGGGGTAGAACAAGGGGTGAGGGAGGACGAAACAAGACGAAATATACACGTGGTATCTGCGCCACGCTCACACATTTACCCCATCCCTCATCCGCCATCCTCCTCCTCCTCCTCTTCCTCCTCCTCCTTCTGATCCTCATCCTCCTTCTCCTCCTCCGCGCCCCCCCCCTCCTCCTGCTCCTCCTCCTCCCCCTCCATCCTCCAATCCTTGCCTCAATCGCCCCGCCCGCCCGCAGGGCTACGGTGGCGTGGGCATCGAGATCATGAAGGCCAACTACACGGTTGCCTTGGGGAGGGTTTCGATGCGCTGGCGGGCGCCTTCCGGCGCTCTCGTTTTGACGGTTGCCAAGGGCGGGAAGGGCCCTGTCGAGAAGATCTGCACGTCGCAGGCCTTCGAAAAGTTCGAGCTTGCCCTAGTCCCCTTCGCCCACAACATTGGATCTGGCCCCAAGAAGCCCACCAACGGAGTTGAGCTTATGATGATGGGCGATGCGTCCAAGAAGCTTTGTATTTGGCTGACCCCGAAAACCGAATATCCAACTGAGGGGAAGACGGCTTCCTTGTGCCCTACTGGTTGGCGCCGACGGCCTGCGACAGCACAGGGGCAAACATGGCCAGGTCTTCGAAGCAGATCGTCATCGCTGCAGGGGAGCTCGGGGGTACCGCGGATGCCACAACTCTGACCATCCCCGTGCTATGGAACACCAAACCCCTGAAGGCTGGAGACAAGCTCTTTCTGTCGGGGCTGGGTGTGAAAGGTAAGAGCAGCAGCGGCAGCAACAATGCGCCCCCCCCCCCAGAAGAGGGCGAAGGGTGCATAAGTAACCTGGCGATCGGCGTTGGCATATGGTGGGCATAGGACATAAGTACACATAAATGTAAGGATGATGAAAAGGAAGAGGAATGGGAGGAGAGAGGGGGAGGGGAGGAGCGAGAGAAGGAGGGGGAGGAGAGGGGGAAGGGGGAGGAGAGAGCGAGCGAGGGGGAGGGGAGGAAGCAGAGGGGGGAAGAATGAAGGACTCACCTCTAAACAGTGGAATGCAAGGGGATCGGATATCAACATGCCCACCCTGTCAACGCAGCATCTGCTGTACCAGCCAAGGTGACTCACCTGCAACCTCGACGTACCGATCTCTCACGCTGTCACTCCACATGTGTCTCTACATACAGTTGCTGCGTGGTTGTGTGATTGCGTTTGGACCTCTGTATGGTATGTGTGTAGGTGCTCCTATATGTATGTGTTTATATCATCGCACCGAATGGGGAATACCACTTTTCGTTGTATGCCGCAGCACACACATCTATAACCACATACCCCTAGGTATACTTATACATGTGTGTATACCATTATACGCGCGAGTGCACGCACGCCGTGAACTACTTGGTGCAATCATGTCTTAGGTACCAACACGTCAATGGCTGTCATCTATAGATTCGTGCTTTGTGTTTGGTACCTCCGTCAGTGGTCATGTGCCCTCTCATATCTCTCTCTTTCTCTCGCTCTCTCTCTCTCTCTCTCTCTCTCGCAGTCTTGCGTATGCGTTTTCCTCGGTGAAGCGTGCTGTGCTGATTGGCAGACTCATTGCCTTGCCGTTGCGGGACTCCGAGCAAGTGGAGTCGCGACCCGGTTCAGCAGATCAGCGGAGTGGTGGACGACCACTCGTGCCAGCTTCAATGTGTTTCCCAGTAGGTTTAATTATCCATGCCGCGCGTGGTGTCTCACGCTCGGTAGAACACGGATGCCCCGCGGGGGCCAACCTCGACAGCGCCCAAAAACCTAACCCCTAGGAGCCCGCCTACCGACGAGGAGCCAGCCTACCCCCAAGCCGAACGTAAACCACTAACCCCAAGCGGCGTAAAACACTAACCCCCCAGCGGCGACGACGGCGACGGCGGCGCCGACGACGGCGGCGCCGACGACGACGACGACGACGACGACGACAACGGCGACGACGACGACGACGACTACGACGGCAACGACGACCCCTGGCAACATAAGCGGCAATCATACATGCGAGCCACCCTCCTACCACAAGTCCCACCAGCCCTCTGGGCTTATGTGGTATAACGCGTGTGTTTCTTCTCTCTGCCCCCCCCCCTCCCCCCCCCCCCTGGGTCTGGGGGGGGGGGGGGGGGGGGGGGGGGCGGAGGCGCCGCGGCGTCCAAGATGGCCCAAGAAGGCCCCAAGGGGGCTTCAAAATCGCAAGATGGCCTCCAATATGGCCCATGCTACTTCAAGATGGATTAAGACAGCCACCGACATACCCCCAAGAGGCTCCAATACGGCCCCAAGACGGATCCAAGTGCCCTCCGAGCCCTCCACGGCGCCCTCCAAGATGCCCAAACCCTTCAACACCCTAGGGAAAATCAATGTTGTTGACAGTATCGCCGTTTCGCTTCCGATGGGCGTTGGAAGCCTCAAGATGGCCCCAAGATGGCCCAAAAGAGGGTCAAGAGGGGCCCAAACGACTGCCCCAGGATCGCCCAGAGCGCTCCAAGAGGGCCTCAAGATGCCGCGTGAGAGCCTCCGATGGGGGCGATGCTAATTGAGGGTCCTCCTCTTTTTGAGCCATGGGGCCCAATATGATCCCACGGGGCCTCCCAGCCTCTCCCCAAAGACCCTCCACCCCGCCCTGTGTGGCCCAATTTCAGAGAGTCCTAGATAGGCAAATACGGTTTTCAAAATGGCCTACGATAGCCAAGCATCGCTCACGATAGCCTCCGACAGACCTCCAAGAGGCCTCAAGGCAGCCCCAAGATGGCCCACGATAGCCGAACATGGCTCAAGATCGCCTCCGACAGCCTCGTGGCTCAAGATAGCCTCCAAGAGGCCCCACGAAAACTGGCAATCCAAGAGGCCTCAAGAAGCCTCAAGATAGCCTCCAAGAGGCCTCAAGATAGCCTCCAAGGGGCCTCCAATTGTTCCTGCTGGCCGTAGCTATTTTAGCTCAAGCCAGCTGCATCGGCAAAGGGGTTTTGTTGTTTTGCACAACCACGCACCACACCGTGATGGCGTTCATGAAGCATCAGCTCTGCGCCGTCAGCCTTGCAGAGGGTTCCAGCATCGCAAGCAGTTGGGTTGGTTATGCCAAGACGGTCGGCAACTACACGCACATCGAATGTGACAAGACGGACGCCAAGTTCAAGCGCTACGTGTCGCATGACTTCCCCATGTTGAAGGTGGTAGCCCAGGCTCGCAATGTGGAGACCGAGCGCTTGACGTGTCAGTCGGTGGCTCAGGGTGACGAAATGGTTGACCAGAAAACGCTTGAGGCTCTTCCGACGCGGCCTCGGAAGGAGATGATCGACGACATCGACAGGAGCATCGCCGTGCACGCCACCGACAACGATGACAACGTCTATGGTGTCCGCGTGCTTACCACAGCCAACAACCGATCCAAGCTGTGGATCGAGTGCGCACCCACCGCACTGCTCCTCCTTACGAAAAGCCGAAGGATCCCCTCGAGCCCACCTTCGAGCCAGTGATGGTTGCTCCCGAGGTGGGCTGGTGCAAGCGCCGTTCGGCTGTCAGGACGCAGTACTTCGACGCCGACGCGCAGAAATTGATGACTAAATCCACGCGTGTCCCTCCTGGGGACGGCCTTCAGAACCGCGTCGAGAAGATGGCGAAAGTGCTGGTGGAGTTCAGGCTGCACCACCACTCGGCGCCTGGGGTCGAGCAGGCGACCGATGCTGAGGAGGATCAGGAAGCCGATCAATGAGCTGTGGCCAGCGCTGTAGTCGCCCATGCTGCGTGCTCGATGTGCCTGTTCCCAAGGGGTGTGCTTGGCTAGGTAGGGTTGCGGTGCGAGCGCGCCGATGGGCATAGAGTATGATTTCTAGCTTCAGAGCGCGCGACTGTGAATGCATGTTGGGGTACACGTGCTAACGAAAACGCCCTACACACTAAGTCGTCGCATCGACCTCGCAGGTCGACCCGCTCAGCATGCACTGTGGCCCAGGCCGATCTGCCCCAGCACAGCCGATGGAGTAGCAGTGTTCCAGAGGGCCCGCTAAAGTGATTTCGGTGCGAATGTAGGGCAGACATGGGTAAGAGCAACCGAGATCACACCAGTGGCAACGTCACGGAATGAGCTGCCTCAGCTCACATCGGCAGCTAGATCGAACGAGTGTGGGCCGTAGCAGCGTTGGTTCGAACTCTCCAGGGCAAGTTCGCACATAGCGTGCGAACTGCCGCTGGAGAGTTCGCACGTAGTGTGCGAACTGCCGCTGGAGAGTTTGAACATCTGCTGTAAGCATCTGTGAGGAGTTTGAACGGACGCGTTGGTGCATCAATCTTTGTCGGCATATACTTGTGGTTCGATCTCGTGGCCAACGCTATGAGCAACTGTTCAAAGTGCCGCTGGAGAGTTCGACCGTAGTGTGCGAACTGCCGCTGGAGAGTTCGCACATTATGTGCGAACTGTCGCTGGAGAGTTTGCGCAAAGTGTGCGAACTGCCGCTGGGGAGTTCGCACCAACATGCTTGACTGGCGTAAGTGTCGTTTCGCGGTCAAGTTCGCAAGGTTGATGCCTCCTGGGGGCGGCTTCGTGGGCTGGCAAATTGTGGTTTGCACATGGCTGTTTTGTGTTTTCTACTCTAGACTCGGTTCGGTTCAAGAGCAGCTTTCTGGTCTGATCCTCCTGCCAATCCCCTCGCCCGTTCCCTATTCCCTGCCTCGCTCATCGCCCCCCTCCCCCTCTTCAGCCTTGCCCATGTCATCATTCTCCTCCGCATCCTCATCCTCCTCTTCGTCATCGTAGTCGTGTTCCCCCTGATGATCCCCCTTTGATCCCTCCTTATTCCCAGAGCTCGCCGTCGCCCCCGCGCCGGTAGCCCGACCATTCGGGTACTCTATCTCCCTAGATCTCTCTTTATCGTTCTCCTTCTTTTGGGATAGGCATTTGCTGAATCAAGCCCAGCAGTGCGTATCTTGCCAGGTGCACCTCGCCGTTGATTCTCGGCACGATGCAGCCAGGGAGCCCCGTCGATCGCATTGTCCAGGGCATCCAACAGCGCGTGTGCTTCATCAACGCGCAGTCTGGAGCTGGTGTGTCTAGGGATTCATTGATGACTTCACAAGCAAACGCCATCCTGGCGGCAATTTCCAGCACGCAGGGGTTGACGCTCAGCTGCGCCACTACCATCGCAAGCGAAGTAGCCAGCGGCCCGTGGACCGCACAACAGAAGCTGGACATTGCCAACGCTCTGGCAAACGCTGTGTCTGGTCACGGTCACGGGCGCACGGGCGCCTGCGCCCAGCAGCACT